CCACACTTGGCAGTCCTGGGGATTGAACCCATGGCTTTCATACTTACCTACATCCCCAGCTCTTGTTTTTTATTTTTTATTTTGAGACAGGGTATTGCTGAGTCCCTAAGTAGCCCAGGCTGCACTTGAACTTGTAATATTCCTGTCTCAGCTTCCCAGCACACTAGAATTACAGGTGTGTGGCACCACGCCCAGCTACATTAAATTTATAAAACAATATTTTTCTTTCTTTCTTTTTGTTTTGTGATACCAGGGACTGAACCTATGGTCTTTGTACTGACATCCACAGTCTATTTTTAAAATTTTGAGTCAGGGTCTTGGTAGGCTGCCCAGGCTGGACTTGAACTTATGATCTGCCTGCCTCAGCTTCCTAGAGTACAGGTATGCATCACCACACCTGGCTTTTATTTAATAACAAATTAACAGCTGGGCACAGTGGCACACACCTGAATTCCTAGCTACTCAGGAGACTGAAGCAGGAAGATCTCAAGGTTGAAGCCAACCCGGGCAGTGCAGTGAGATCCTGTTTCAAAAGAAAAAGAAAAAAAAAAAGATTTGGGGATATAGTTCAGCAGTGCAGTGCTTACCTAGCATGTGTGAGGGCCTCTGTATTGGTCAGCTTTGCTGTTACTGGGACAAAATACCTGACATCTATAACTTAAAGGAGAGGTTTCAGAGGGTTTAGTCCATGGTCAGCTGGCTCCAAGGGAGAATCATCATGGTGGAAAGGCATGGAGGAGCAAAGCTGCTCACTTCATGGAGCCTGGAAAACAGAATAGGGAACAGCACCAGAGAGGAAGGGGCCAGCGACAGATATAGTACCCAGGGTCACGCCTCCATGACATACCCGGACAAAGGGAAGTATGCTTTCTAATTCCCTAGGCAGCTCCCAAGCCAAAGGAGTTGACAATGCAGTTTAACTGTTACAGCCTGTGTCCAGTCCCTGGTACCCCCTCCCCCCAGCGTTAGAACCCTTGTTTGGATATACACCCCCCAAAAGGCTCAGGTGTTAAATGCATGTTCCCCAGTGCACAGTGGTACTGGGAGGTGGTGGAGTTTCAGGTCATTGGGGCTTCCTTGGACGGGGATATTGGGACTCTGACCCCTCTCTCTCTGCTTCCCACCTGCCACAAGGTGAGCAGCTTTCCAGTTGCATCCTTCCTACCAGTGTTAGCCTCACTGCAGCAAACCATTAGGGCAACCAACCAGGGCCTGAGAACTCTGAAACCATGAGGTTAAGTTATCTCAGGTTATATTTTATATAATGGAAAGCTGAACAACACAACGCACTTAGCTTACTGTTACTTCACTTTATAAAATTAAGTTTTGAAAACTATTTTATTCTTAATACTTAGCTTAAAATATACACTGAATACCTGTAATAAAAATATTTTCTTGCTTTATATACTCTAGGCTTTTTTTAACTTAAAAATTAAAATTTTTTAACTTTTTAAACATTTTTGTTAAAAACTAAGACCTTGTACAGCCCAAGCCTATCACAGAGTCAGGGTCATCACCTCCCTATCTTGTGACATTGGAAGGTTTGCAGGGGCAATGGCACATATAACACCTCCAGTAACAGCAACATCTTCTGGAGTTCCTCCTCAAGGACCTGTCTGAGCCTCTTGAGCAGATGTCACTCTTTGCAGAGTCCATGGTGGTTTGCTTGGTTTGAGTCACACTAAATTGTCCAGACTGGCCTCAAACTTTTGATTTCCCTGCCTCAGCCTCCAGAGTAGCTGGGATTACGGGCATGGGCTACCACGCCCAACTTCTTTTTCCTCTTCCTCTTATTTATCATAGATTTGTTTGTAAGCAGATAATGCACTACGAATACCCCTCTCTATTAAAAAAAATTTTAGGGGGGTACAATGGGGATTGAACCCAGGGCCTTGCATAAGCTAGGTGAGTCTACCACTGAGCTATGGTCCTAGTCCCATGTTTTCAACTTTTTGTGTGTGTGTCATACTGGGGGTTGAACCCAGAGGTGCTCTACCACTGAGCTATATTCCCAGCCCTTTTTATTTTTTATTTTGAGAGAGTCTAAATTGCCCAAGCTGGCTTTGAACTTGTGATCTTCTTGCTTCAGCCTCCTGAGTGCTGGGACTACAGGCCTTTGTCCCTGCTCTTGGTTTGTTTTCAACATTTATTTATTTATTTTTAAGACAGGGTCTCGCTATGTAGTTCAGGCTGGCCTTGAGCTCACTATGTAGCCCAGGCTGGCCTCAAATTCACAGTGAACCTCCTGCCTCAGCCTTCCAAGTTCTGGGATTATAGGCATGCACCACAATTCCCGGCTTGTTTTCAACTTTTAAAGAAGCTTATTGAGGTCTGCAGAAACTTCTACTAAACCTATCCCTGTGAATTTTCTTGGGATTCTCCTGTCTTCTGTAGTTTCCTTTTCTCTTGCTTTTTCCTCAGTTTTATGTTTGCCAGATGATAAGAATTTTTCAGTTCTCTTATAATCTTATAGGACCACTGTCATATATGTGACCCATTTTTAACTAAAACATTTTTGTGCAACACACAATTGTAGATACAAACATTCTGCTCCAAACTTCCAGCCCAGCCAGAGGATGCCCTAACCTTCACTTCAGTGCAGGTGCATAAGCACTCTAATTTGTCACTTTCTTCTCATAGACCCTCCTGTTCCTACTCATACTCTCTCCACAGTCCCTCCTGTCATTCATCACTTTCCTACAGATTCCATTTGCCCCCACGTCTCCCCACAGACCTCCTTTCCCTCATCTCCTTTCTGTGACACCCTCTGGCTTCATCCTCTTCCCAGACTTACCCTCATTCTCTACTCAGATTGCTTTTTTCTTTCCCTACACTCACTTCTACCCCAACTCCATTCCCAGACCTAACCTCACACTCTCCCTACAAAATGTAGCTTTGGGTCAAACATAGTCTGCCCACCCTCTTCTCACACCTTCATGGCTCATCTCTGGCTCACTTCTCCCTCCTTCCCTTCCTAGCCTTCTTTTTCTGCCCTTGATAGTTCTCATTCCTGAATAGGTCTCTTTCATCCTGTTTCTCCAGTTCCTCTGCCCATCTCTAGCTTGTGCCCAGAGCTAGCTCGACCCTGGTTCTCCACTTCTGCAAACCACCCTTGCTTGGAGGCAGCCTGTGCTTTACACCCTAGATGTAAGGATCTCAGGTTTGGAAGGGAGGCTAGTGTCTCCTCACCTAAGGCTAACCTAGTTCCTTATTCCAACTGCTCAGAAATCTGTCTGCTTCCTTAGTCATCTCACTCTCATTCTCCAGGGCTGCTATTTCAATCTTTGTCTCCATTTTTTTTTTTTTTGGTGGGGAGGGTCTTGCTAGGTTGCTCAGGCTGGTGTTGAACTCATTTTTTTGCCTTAGCCTCCTAAGTACCTGGGATTACAAGTATGCACCACTTTGCCTGGCTTTTCTCTGCTCTTTTCACCATTACTCTGCATCTCCAATCCCATTCTCACTGGCTGATATCATGTCTCTATTTCAGAGAGAAAATAGCAACTGTCAAAGAGAAATTCCCACAACTTCCTGTCATCAAACCCACCAAAGTAGTAAAGTCAACACACGTTTCCCTTCTGCCACATACAAATGTCCCTCTACCCTTAACTGAATTTCTCCATCAATGTTGTGGATCTCCTTTCTTCTTGTTTCAAGGACACCACTCTCCCAACTATCTTATTTTCCCTATAATTTAACCTTTTTCTTTTTGCTGGATCTACGCCAACAGTATCTCTCCCATCTCTTTTTTTTTTTTTTTCCATTTTGTTGTTGTTGTTTATTTGTTTTTTGAGACAGGGTCTTGCTATTAGGTTGGCCTTGGACTCATGGCAATCCTCCTGTCTCAGCCCCCCGAATGCTGGGATTACAGGTGTATGCCACCATGCCTGGCTCTCTTTCTTCTCTTAAACAGCCACACTTCTTTGCATGCTAGGCAAAGAAAGGGTGCTCTACCACGCCTATACTTCTTCTTCTTCTTTTTTTTGGTACCGGGGATCGAACTCGGGCCCTTGTGCTTTCACAGCAGGCTCCTAGTCTAAACTTCTTAAAAGTGAATTTCACATACAATCTTTACTTCTTCCTCTTCTCAAGCCACTGTAATTAGACCTCTGTACCCATCATTCCACTGAAACTGAACTTGCAAAGGTTACCAACTTCCTTGTTTCTAAATCCAGTGGCTTCCTTCACACCTTATTTTACTTGATTACTCATCAGGCTTCAACACTTTCCTCCCTTGGCTTCTGAGACACCATGGTTCTCTAATGATTATCTTCTCACCATCTTGGACACTTCATCTCAAATACCTGCGTAGGCCTATCCTTCTTTACCAGACCCTCAAACCTGGGTACTTCTCAGCACTCTGCCCTAGGCCCTCTCCTCTTTTCTACATATGCCTTCTGGATAAGCTTAACAGATCTACTGGTGTAGTTGTCATCTACAAGGCCCTACAGACCCGACATTTCTACTTCCAGTTAAACTCATCTTGTGACTCCAATCAGGCATATTCAGCTGCCTCCTTGATACCTTGAACTGGATGTTCTACAGGCACCTCACATTCACCGTACCCAGAATGGACTCCTAAAAGTCTTACTTCCTCTCCTTCCTGTCTAAACCAGAAAACTAGAAATCATTCTTCATTTCTCCTATTTCTTTCTTTCTTTTTTTGGTACTGGGGATCGAACTCGGGACCTTGCACTTTCGAGGCAGGCGCCAGAACCACTGAGCTAAACCCCCATCCCTCTCCTATTATATTTCAAAACATATGTCTGATCATTACTCCCCTGCTTAAGGCCCGATGACTGCCTACTGGCTCACAAAAAATCTAAGCACTTATGTTCATAGGTGTAAAATGCATTGGATTTTTTTTTTCATCAGCAAAATCTATCTATAAATTTAAGGCTGAGTTTAACATTCTCTAGGATCTGGCCCTGGCTCTTCAAAGGTTTCTCTCATATTAGTCATTCCCCTGGCCAGAGACCCTTCATGTAATTTTTTGTACTCACCCCTGACTTTTCCTTCTTTGGGTGTTTCCAAGGAGTCTTTTTTTCAAGTCTCCAAGTCTTTCAAGGCCCAGTTTAAGAACCATCCCCATTACCACAATGTCCCTTCTCTCAGACTCTGAGCTCTGACTCTTCTAAACTATTTATTCCCCGCAGAGAATTACATTTGGTTCATATATTATTTGTCTCCCTATCCTGTTAAGATTTATAGTCAGGGCCAAAAGCTGGATCCTCAGAAGAGCCCAAGGAACCTTACTTAGCCCACATCCAGCCCATAGACGGTCATAAATGTTTGTTAAATGCGTGGACAAACGCAAAAAAGCTGTACTTCTTAGTACCTTGGTGCCTCCACAAACAGGGCATTCTGTAAAGTCATAGTTTAAGACCTTCTATCCACCCACCCAGTCAGCTGCCTGGACTCCACTGGGTGGAGGATGGGTCGGCACGCGCCGCCGAGGCCGTTTTGTACGGTTTTCTACCTCCAGCCCTCGAATCTGCGGCTGGTAGAGGATGGTAGAGGTAACTAGACGAGGCAAGTCAAAGTGCACTGTCTTCCGAAGGGTAGGGTAAGACGCGGTGGCGAGAAGAGACCCTTAGCATTCCCAGGATACAAAGCTCTGTCGCCGACTCTTCCCTACACAACAGGGTGGTTGTGGGAGACTCTTCCTGACCGGCGTCCCCCCTGCCCAATACCTGGTCCGGATCTAGAGAGTTAGCCAATGACTGCGGGCCAAAACTAAGGGAGGCGGGACCTGGTTGCTATGGCAGGACTAGTAGGCATCTGTGAGAGGCTCGGAAAGACTCGGTTGTTGCTAGAGGGGGAGGTCACAGAGGGCGGCTCTGGGATTGGGCAGTGTCGGGAAGAGGGTGGAGAGGGGGCGGTGGCTGGGCGGTGCCCAGGATGCGTTCAGTTGGTGCGCTGGTGCGCAAGCCAGAGTTCCGGTGGTAGGCCTATGCGGACGGCCGGTGCCTTCACCATGGCCCGTGCTGAGCTGGACTACACAATCGAGATCCCGGATCAGCCCTGCTGGAGCCAGAGTATGAAACGAGGGTCGGGTCCAGTCTTGGGGAGGTGATCTGACGACTCTGTGGGTCGTGAGCGCAGCTTAGCTCCGCCCGCCTCGCTGTCCCGCCCCTTCCTAGGGTCCCTCTGGTCCTAGAGTTTGAGGGGCGGGGAGAGCTCCGCCCCCTGTGGGCCCCGCCCCAGAACTGTCCTTTCTGAGTCACGCCTCTTCCCTGCGTCTGCTGCTTGGTCTGGGTCCTTTTTCCTGCTTTGTCCGCCTGGGTTTCTCAGGCGCATGCTCTTTCTGAGGCTGGAGGCTGTCTAGGGTAGAGTCCCTCCTAATTCGTTTGTATGGGTCCGGGCTCCCCACTTCTCCCTTGTGGAGAAGTTGCGGCTAGGGGTACACAGTACCCCTTCTCAGTTGCAGCTAGGGATACACAACATTTTCCCACAGGAAGGCAGTCTTTTTTTTTTTTTTTTGGAAAAGCCCAGGACTCAGAACCTCTAGCCCTCTCTCCACTCTTTTTGGCAGTGATAACAGAGCAGTCTCTGCCCTCGAGTAGAACACTGTTGAAATCTTGACTCTCTCTTCAGTGGCTGAATTACCTTTGGTAAGCTGCCAGCTCTGGACTTGAGTTTCCGCCCCAAAATGAGGGTAACGATAGTAAAATCCCTCAGGGTTGTTGGTTGCACAACTAAGAGATTATTTGTGTAAAGGATCTGGCATTGGGCCTGACATGGAGTGAGTTTAGTAATTGGTATTTAGGATTAACATTGTTTTCCCCCCTACAGTCATAGCATTGAAGAAAGATGTGTGTGTGTGTGTGTGTGTGTGTGTGTGTGTGTGTGAGGCTCCACAAAATTAATAGCTATTAAAGCAGGCCCTTCTCCATGGCTGTGCCTAAAGAATGGAAAGTTGTCCCTGTTGGAAATTTCAGTAGAGGTCAGCCTGGATCCCAGCATGTCTCTTGCCTGCATCACTCCAGCATTGCTTTCATGCCTCCAGTCTCACTGCCAGCAGCTCAGCCTCTTAATATTGGTATCACAGTGATCTTAATGCAAGGGTTTGATCTTATCACAGCTTTTCATAAAATCTTTTAGTGGCTTCTTATTGCCTTCAGGATAAATCAAGTCTTGATTCCTTAGCATGATGGGATTCAAAGTCCTTCATAATTTAGCAGACCGGGTTTATCTCTTTGATCACTATGTCCTTCCACTTTGCAGTGTGAGTTTTCTGTTCTGGCAACACCCAATGCCTTGTGATTTCCTGCATGCTTTTTGGCCTTTGTTTCTGCTCTTTCCTGTGCTGGAGATTCCCCTCCTTTCTGCTGCCCAGCACTGCCCCCTTGCTTGCCCAGCTTACCAGGTAAGGCTTCGCGCAGATGTTGTTTCTTTCATGAGAGCCTTCCCAGACCCCTCTGGTGGCATCTTGTGTTCCTTGGCTGGAGTCTAGGAGAAGGCAGCTCCTAGCCTCCCAAAGAACAGATGGCTTTTTCCCTACAGCTGGATCTGTGCTTTAGAGGTTTTGGACTTATAGAAGTAAAAATATTTATCATCCTTGGAGAGCCTTAAGCTGAAAAGGTCTGGAACTGCCTTCTGCAGGGTCAGGAGGGCCTATGTGGGCAGCCTGATGGTCTTGGTTCTATCTCTTACTGCTTCTGTGTCATTGGCAAGTTATTGAACCTCCCTTGAGCCTCAGATTCATCCACTGAGAAGTGGGAATACTAGTAAAGCTTACCTTCCAGGCTCGTAAGAATTGACAAGGCAGTGGGTGGATGTGTTTGCCTGGGACAGAGAGGGTGCCCTGCTAGTCCCTTTCCTCCTTTGGGCCTCCTTCCCTCACTATTTCAGGAGGCTGGGGTTTAGAACTGGAAGACATCTCAGAGGGCCATTTTGTCTTGCATCCTTCCGCTACCATGAGTGCATTCCAATGCTAGCAGACCTTCCCTATGGCACACTTCCTCTCTAACAACCTGGCCTGTTGGAAGCAACTGGGATTGTAGAAAGGCACTTCCCTTTCTTGAACCATAATAGGCTTTCCTGTCATTTCCGCATCCAGGTCAGCAGTTTCATCCTGGCCTGGGTTAGTTGCTGGGGCGTCACAAGTGATTAATGCACAGGCGCTCTTCAGGGAGCTGTGGTTTTGGGGTGCTAGGGTTTATAAGCAGGTGGTTTCAAAATGATGTGGTCACTTCAGGGCTAGAGAGTGAGGTGGTGGTTACAACACAGAGCAAATAATTGCTCTTCCTCTCTTCGAGACAGCTTTATGACTTCCATAGTCTCTCTTCTCCAAGGAAAACACCCACCTCCAGGGCTTTTCATTGTTCTTCTGATTTCCTGCCTCCTGACCAGTTAGTTCTTCATGACCTTTTCTCTCTTGGCACATGTTCCAGAGTTAAGTGGAGGTGAAAGAACTTCTCAGAAGAGGCTGGGACACTGTGATCCCTGAATCCATTTGCTTCCCCTGTGCAGAGTTCCACCAGGCTAACATGGTTACACAGAGTGACAGAGATTGTCTCTTTTGCTGTTACTGTTAATGGTGGAGAAGTATGTAGGATGCACATATTTGGTTTTTGGAGTAGCTTTCCCTCATATTTAAAATCAGAACTACAAGGGCTAGGGATTTAGTTCAGTGGGCCGTGCCTGCCTGGCAAGCGCAAGGTCCTGAGTTCGATTCCTGGTACCAAACAAAACAAAAACAAAAACAAAACAAAAAATAAGAACGACAGAGCCCAGCACTGCTGAGAGTTGACAGAGGTGAGCAGCTGATGTTGGTACTTCAGTCAGATGGAAGACAGCTGAGACCGGGGTCACAGGGAACCCTGGGCTTTTTGGGCCAGGATGGGATGCACTGGAGCTTCCTACTGGGAGTCCCACCAGCCATCAGCTGTGGCTGCCCATGCCGACGGTAGTGTGCCTAGGCCTTTGACCTGGAATCTGCCCTTCCCCGCATTTTCTTGGGCCAGTGGTTCTTGTGCTCCCTTTCATTCCTCCGGGAGCTCCCACAGCACTGTATTAGCCTGTTGTGGTGCCTTTAAAGGTTTTACTCACTGTTGCCAGGGCTTGGCAGGGATGAGGTGCCAAATGAGCTGCCTGGAATCACTTGGAAGCGTTGAGGGCCCAAGCTAGAATTGTTCTGACATTAGACTCAGCTGTGCTAACTCTCCTTCCCTCCAGAGAATGTCAGCTGGGTCCTACCCAGGTCCTTTCTGTTTTTTTGTAGTGCTGGAGATGGAAGCCTGGGCCTCTCACATGCTTGGCAAATTCTCTACCACTGAGCCACACACCCGTAGCTCAGATAGTCTTTTTGAAGGCATCTCGTGCTGCTGTCATGTTCAGTTAACTTTTTTTTTTTTTGAGACAGTGTATCACTATGTAGTTTAGGCTTGCCTTGAACTCCTTGTGTAGCCTAGGCTGGCTTCTGACTCTGGGGGATCCTTCTGCTTCAACCTCCTGAGTGCTGACATTACAAGTGTGCACCACCACGCCTGACTCTGAACATTTTTAACTCTAATTCATTTATAGGATTAATGAGGCTGGGGCCCTGGGGCAGAGACAGGGATCTTGCTTTTAGAGTAAATTGAAGGCCTCGGGTGGATCATAGAGAGGGGAAGTGAAGGATTTTACACCTCCAGACTTTATTGTGAGCCTGCTCTTTTACTAACCATTGGCTAGGGTCAAAAAAATACAAAGCCTTTTTTTTTTTTTTTTTGGTCCTGGGGATCAAACTCAGGACGGGCTTGCCAGGCAGGTGGGGCGCCACTGAGCTACATTCCTGGCCCACAAGCATCATCTTAACCCTCAGGAAGCTGTTACTGGCACCCGGGAAACAGTGCTGAGGTTCTGACGACCATGGGGGGCCCTTGTGGGGACTGGAGCTTGGAGGGAGGTCTGACAGATTCATGGTGAGCAGCAGAAAGTGCAGAGATAAGGCCACTAAAGGGGGCCATGCAGTGGAGTTGATACTGAATGATGGGATCCAACAGATAGATTCTAGGCTCTTTGTGTACGATGAGCAAAGAATTGCAAAGTGTGTATCTGTTACAGTTGAATGGGCCAGTAATAGTCTAGGTTTTGGTGTACAATGAGGAAAGAATTGCCCAACATACACCCAATAGTAAGTAGTAACTACATTTATTGAAGATCATGGGGAAGGTAGCAACAGGAAAGGGGAAGAAAAGGGGCCAATAATTCAGGATTTCACAATTTAAAAGCCAGATATCTCACCTTTTGGTGCCTCCCACTGAATCTCTCACTGGTGCCTAAGGCATGACTATCTCCTAGGCTTTTATGTTATTATTATTTTTTTAATCTCTCTTAGGATAATGATAGCAGCAGTAACTATAGGGTGCTGTTTACAGTTAGATGGAAGGAAGGGTATGACTCTCTCAGATCCTTTGTTTCTGACTGTACTATTCCCTCCTGAGAGCCCTGATTCCTGAAAATTGTTGAGGGGAGTTGAAGTTGGAAGTTTTGTCTTTTATAGCTACTTCCAGCCGTATAGAGGTATTGGCCCCTACCTAGGTAGAGACCTAGAAACCCTATCCCTGACTGATCTATGAGTTCAGGGGAGTTGACCCTTTCCTCTGAAGATTTCTTGATGATCTATGGGTGTGGAAGCAGGTTCTGATCATGAGTTTTGGTCATCACCAGTAGTTTGATGTCTGTCAAACAAGAAGTAACAAATTTGACTGAGAGATTAAGTATGTAAGATATAAATAGTAAGGGTATGAGAAGCATTAATAAAGATCATGTCCAGGTCAGTAACCAAGACCCCCAATTCCATATATTTTGTCAGGATATCCATGACTGAAATAGATTTTGAGAGATCTTGGAAACCAGTTTTTGTGCTGTGTCTCTTACTATTCAGACCTATTGACAAAGGCAGTATATTCTTCTTTTAGGAACAAACCTAGCCCCTTTGTTGCAGTATTAGGAGACTTAGTCCTCTCTGAGGTTGTACAGCCACTGCTACTAGTGAGTTTATCTGGTTTTGAAGGAAGGCAATACTCTGGGCAAGTTTGCCTAGGCTGTTGAGTTCTTAGGTAGTGGTTGATGATAGGAGAAAAATGTGATTAGCTCTAAGGTCTCATGTAGGTAGTCACTATTATCTTTATTAGAGGCAATTTTTTGAATAATCCAGGATGATCACAAAAGAAACAGGAAGGACCCTAAAGATGTGATGTTGTAACTTGGAACAAGGACTTCAAGTATATCAAACAAGAGAGTAGCAAGACTAACCACACAATTTACTTAGAGGGAAGAAAATGTTTTACTTATCTAGTTTAACAGGTTGGTTGATGTTTTCTTTTTGAAAAGAAACTTGAGGTTGTCTGCTGTTTTGCAAATATATGAGGTCTGCGATCTCTCTCCTTTGTTTTCTGGTGTCTCAGGCAGCTTGAGTATTATCCTGGAGAGGTGACTCTAGCTATGTATTCCTTGTACCTTAATGACAGGAATCGTTAGAAGGGTTGTATAAGGGCCTTTCCATTTTGAGGGTAACTTAGTCCTGAGGTGCCCTCTTTTCAGATGGCTGCATGTACATGTAGGACCAGAAAGGCATATTTGGTGTTTTTTTTTTTTTGGTAGCGGGGATCAAATTCAGGTCCTT